CTGCTGCTGCTGCTGCTGCTGCTGGGTGTTACTTCCAGCAGCTGCTACGGGGGGAGTACCGAAGGGAAACGCAATGGGGCTTGTAGAGGGTCCGCCTGCAGCAGGCACAAAACCCTAAACCCTAAACCCTAAACCCTAAACCCTAAACCCTAAACCCTAACCCCTAAACCCTCCTACCCCCTAATCTAAACCCCTAAACCCTATTCCTAGCAGCTTTTAAACTTACTTGATCCGTGTGCAGCACCCCAGCCATTCATTAACAAAGGAGGCTTATCATTAGAGATGTTTGAGGGGGCCCCCAGGGGCCCCGCAGCAGCAGGGGGCCCCTGGGGGCCCCCAAAGGGGTTTACATACATTCGTCTTCTATCGACCCCAGGCCCCCTAGTAGATTGAGCAGTGAATGCAGCAGCAGCAGGTGCTGCTGGTGGCGGTGGAGGAGGAGGCTGCTGCTGCTGCTGCTGCTGCTCTTCTTCCTCGTAGTCTTGGGTCTCCTTTCCTGCAGCAGAAAGCAGCAGCAGCAGCAGCAGCAGTGGATTCTACCTCATGTTTGCTTCTGTATAATTGCTGCACAGCTAGCGGGAGCTGAACAGCAGCAACAACAGCATAATAGAACCAGAGAAAGCAGCAGCAGCAGCAGCAGCAAAGCAGAACAGCAGCGACAAAACCTATACGAAGCACCAACAGCAGCAGCAGCAACAACAACGCAACCTCAACAGAAAGCAGCAGCAGGAAAAAAGCAGCAACGGCAACCAAAAACAGCAGCCGCAGCAGCCAGCAGCAACAACAGCAGCAGCAGCAACAGCAGCAGCAGCAGCAGCAGCAGCAACAGCAGCAGCAGCAGCAGCAGCAGGTACCTCTTTCCTCCCATCTTTGTTTTTCTGTGTTGTAGTAGAAAGTGTTTTCAACACCTATTTCTCTCTCTTCGCCAGCTAGCACAGGCAGCACTGCCTTCTTCAGGCCGACAAAGACCCCCCCTAACCAGCTGCTGCTGCTGCTGCTGCTGCTGCTGTCGTTGGGGACCTTCTTGCTGTTGCTGCGGCTGCTACTGTTGCTGCGAACCACCCCTCTAGACCCGCCGCAGCTGGAATCCTGTTGCTGCTGCTGTTGTTGTTGTTGTTGTTGCTGCTGCTGCTGTATGCGCTCTCGTCGAAGCTGGGTAAGGATTGCATCCTGCTGCCGCAGCAAAGAATTCTGCTGCTGCAGCTGCAGCTGCTGCATCTGCTGCCGCAGCAGCTCGCGTAGCTGCTGCGGCACTTTAACTTGCGGCTGTGCCCTCAGAGACGCAGCAGCATATTCACAATACCTCTCCGCCTGCAGCAGCAGCAGCAGCAGCAGCAACGATATGCATGCAAGGTTAACGATACAAGAAGCAGGATCTTGCGGCAAGAAGCAGCAAAGGATCGCGGCAGCAGCAGCACAAGGAGCAGCACCACCACAAGCAGCAGCAGCAACGGAAGAAGCAGCAGCAGCAACAGAAGCAACAACAACATACCTGTTTTAGGAGGCCAACCTCTGCGAGAATTGCTGCAAAACGGATCTTGAAAGGGATCAGGTGTACGTACACCCACTGCACAAGCAGCAGCAGCAGCAGCAGCAGCAGCAACACAGGAGCAAGCAACGCTACTGGAGCACTACCCTACGCCCACCGATGCAAAGACAGCAGCAGAAGCAGCGGCAGCAGAGGATGCAGCGACTGCAGCAGCAGCAGCAGCAGCGACTGCAGCAGCAGCACGCACTTGGGGGTTAGAGAGGCGAAGTATATATTCGAGGGTCTCCGTGAGGATTAGCTGCTCAGCCTCCTGCAGCAGAGCGGACCCACCGCAGCCGCCTGCAGCAGCAGCAGCAGCAGCAGCAGCAGCAGCAGAACCGGAGTGCCCCATCAGCTGAATGGGGAGGTAAACAAAAAGATCTCAGCCGCGCTACCACCTTTCGCCAGCAGCAGCAGCAGCAGCAACAGCAGCAGCAGCAGCAGCAGCA